ATATATATATACATAGATAGAGTATGTATATATATATATTTAGTGTGTATATATATATGTGATATATATATGTATGTATGTACTGCATGTATGTATGTATGTATGTATGTAATGTATGTATGTATGTAATGTAATGTAATGTAATGTAATGTAATGTAATGTAATGTAATGTAATTAATGTATGTATGTATGTATGTATGTATGTATGTATGTATGTATGTATGTATGTATGTATGTATGTATGTATGTATGTATGTATGTATGTGTACAGGGTAGAGGCTGGGGGTTCCCCGGAAGGAAATTGAAATTCATTGTGTTCCATTTTGAAAAATGTCATTTTTCACTGTGTTTTACAGTGTTTTGTGCTCTTCCAATATCTGGTATATGTTGTCCGCTGTTTCAATCTCTTTTTGTCTTTTTCAAGTTCATCAACTTATATCATTTTTGTTTTTCCCATAGGAATTGTGTGTTTTTTGAAATTTCAGGTTTCTTTTGATGGACATAAACATGTCATAATCCACCAGAGAACCATGGGCGAAATGCACATGGGCCTTTTTTCTCTTCACATCCGCAAAGCCGTTTTGGAAGCATTCATAAGTGCACACGCCCCGTTTACTTTGTGTCGGTGGCACTTTAATGCTTCCAGCACTGATTGAAGACCTGGGTTTCTGTGAATGTAAAAAGCTGACAAAATATGACGATGTTCCAACTTGTCGGTCCACCGAGTTGTCCCAGTCTTCTCAATTGGCCTTTACCTATATTCACTAAACTCAATATAGACATTGTCGCCTCCAGTCGGGAGAAAGGAACGTCTCTGTTCTTTCACAACTTTTTTTTTCTTTTGGCCAAACGCTGCAACATCTTCTGATGACGCAATGCAATGAACGTTAACATCCCCCCCCCACGCCCCCATGTGTATGCAAGAACGACAAAATATGCATATATCTATTAGAGAGAGACTGAAGGTTCCTACGTCTTCCGGGGAACCCCCAGCCTCTCTCCTATATATACAATATACATATATATATATACATTGTGTATATATATATATATTGTATATATATGTATATATATATAGTATATATATATGATTATATCTGATATCTTGTTGTTTTCTGATTCTTTCTTTGCCTGGTTCATTCCTCTCACAGCTTCTGTGCCTTACTTCGAAGACACGGATATGTTGATGATGTTGATGTAGTCTGCATGTTTACACGTTAAAGTGACCATCCAAAAGTTCGGTACAGGAATGAGGCTTTGGAGCAGGAACTCGAGGCAACTGAACATGAACCATATTGAAGCTTCAAATCCACAGATTTCGTGTTGTCTTTTCATTTGACATGTTTTCTCGAACTTGGAATTCTGGAACATGGTGGAACGGGATCAACATGGATCAACTTAGGCCTAGGCACTGAGAGCGGCGACAGATGCGACAGGTGCTACGCCAAGAGCTTGGGCGGAAAGTTGCAGCGGAGGCGCTGAACTTGGACCAAGCTGTGAAGTCTAGTCGTCTCAGATAGCAGATTTCTTTGGAACGGCTGGAACTGTCACAATGCGTTGCAATGATATATATATAATAATATATATATAATAATATATATAATAATATATATATAATAATATATATATAATAATATATATATAATAATATATATATAATAATATATATAATAATATATATATAATAATATATATATAATAATATATATATAATAATATATAAAATAATATATATAATAATATATATAATAATATATATAATAATATATATAATAATATATATAATAATATATATATATAATAATTTATATATATAATAATTTATATATAATAATAATATATAATTAATATATATAATGAATATATATAATAATATATACATATAATAATATATATATATATGTATAATAATATATATATATGTATAATAATATATATATGTATAATAATATATATATATATATATATGTATAATAATATATAATAGAGGGAGAAGAAGAAGGAGAGAGACGAAGAGAGAGAGATAAGGGAAGAGGAGGGAGGGAGGAGAGAGGGAGAAGGAACGAGACGAGAAGGCCATCGAGAGAGGAAAAGAGAGGGGGAGAGAGAGGAGAGAAAAGAGAGAAGAGAAAGAGAAGAGAGAGACTCAAAGAGAGACAAGAGGGAGAAGAGCAGAGAGAGAAGAGAGAAGAGAAGAGAGAGCAGGGAGGAGGAGAAGAGAGAGAAACAGAGAGAGAGGGCCACACGAGAGAGAGAAGAGAGGAGAGAGAGAGAAGAGAGAAGAGAATGAAAAGAGAAGACAAGAGGAAGAAAATAAAAGAGAACAGAAAAAAAAGAGAGGGAGAAGAGCAGGGAAGAGAGGAGAATGGAAGAGAATGAGAAGATAAGAGAGGAGAAAAGAGAGAGGGAAAGGGAAGAAGAACAACAAGGGAAGAGGGAAGAAGAATGTAAATTTAATAATAATAATTAATAATTATTATTAAAAATAATACAATAATATTATATATATATATATCTACATAGTACTATATATAATACAATTATATATATATTAATTATATATAATATAATATATATAATATAATATATGTAATATTATGTATGTAATAATATATATATATAATATAATATATATAATATAATATATATATATGTAATATAACATATATAATATAACATATATAATATAACATTTGGATCATTTGGGGTTTGTTCTGTGTTGTTTTCTTGATGCTGGTGAGGTTTCGCAAAGGAGCCGGCTGGAAGAGGAGTGCAGGTGCGGTTTTGAAAAGGCGAAACGCGTGACAGATTCGTCTACCTCCACATCGCTCAGGCGACTCGAGCAAGAACTGGAGACAAAATCCAAACCGCAGGAGCATTCGCATCATCTCAGTTCGTGGAATGTGTGCAATGGACATTCTTGTATATTCGGCAGATTATATATTTACAATCATTCTTAAACTTACCTTTCTGTGCTTTCTCCACTTCTTTCTCTCTTCAATTCTCTTCACGTATGTTCACGTTTTCTGTGTTACCTGATATTTTTTCGTACACCTCTTCTCCGTCTCTTCTGTTTTTATGGAGCATCCGTCAGAACTTTGGTGTGGACATGGACTATGGTCATTCCAGGAGCGCCATGGCTATTCGAGAACTTCTCGACTTCTGAGCCTGAGTGGCTCACTGGACTCTGACGAGGACTGTCGACCATGTCAAACGCCTGGTACTTTTACATAATCCCAAATAGATATTATATATATTATTAAATAGATATGATTAAAGATCGATATATATATATATATATTACTAAATGGATATTGTATACCCAGGTATCCCCGGTAATACAAGAAACCTCTATTGGGGATGGTTTATGATCCCAGTGGCTAAAGTCCAAGATTGTCCATTGAGATTCCCAAAATCAGAGAAAGTGACAAGAGGGCCACACATTCACAATTAAGTCAATATTAAAGATTTGTTCAATATGAATATGTTAGTAAATAAAAATATTCAATATATATATATATGTATATATTATGCATATATATATGTATATATATATATATGTATATATGTATATATCTATATACACATTATATATGATATTATATATATATATGTATATATATGATATTATATATATATATGTATATATATATGATATTATATATATATGATATTATATATGTATATATGTATATATATATACATTTTATATGATATGATATATATGTATATATATATATGTATATATATATATATATGATATGCTATTATATGAGTAATCAATTAAGCGGTGTTTTTCGCGTTTCTGGCTTGACATTTTCGTTTCTGAAAACCGACCTGTTTTCGCTGTTCTTTTTCTTGCTCGAGGAGCCCAACGTGGCACAGATGCAACAGAGGCTGAAGCGCTGCGAAAAAAATGAGCAGGAGAAACAATATCCGATTATTATGGGATTTTATGGGATATTAATCAGATGATAATCAGATGATAATCAGATGATAATCAGATGATCATGTTCAGAAAATTTGGAGATGAAAAAAACGGATGATATGATGGGACTATTATCTGATTATCACATAATCTGAAAACACATTTGGCATTTTATCCCCACAATCTTTGACAATAGGATTATAATCTATGTCCCATATTAATCCCATAGTATGTTTTCACAAAATATGGGGATTCTCTCATCCGATGATTATCCTATCCGATCATCCCGTATGGCAGTAATCAACCAGCTGCAAATATCGGCAAATGGCAAACCTGGCATGATTAAATGATGGGGAGATTGAGATTGATCATCAAAATATTATGGGATGATATCATGGGATGATATAGCACGGGATTTTTCAGATCTCCTGTTTAACAGGAGATTATGGGATGATAAATGATGATGGGGTGAAAGTCATGGGTTGGTAAACGTCCTGTTTGGAGATTAGATCTCCGATCATTTGGCGATGTTCCATTGGGACATTTGCAGTACCAACCGCTGAAAGTTTCCCGAACTTCAGACTGCTGCAAAAGTCCATGATTTTTTGGGAATGCCATTGGAGAAATTTCAAGATTGAGAGAGACGTGCCAGAAATTCTGAGTGCATAAGAATGCATATTGATCACATTGCAGGAGCATCGAGAGGCTGCATGGTTGGCAGAAGAACATGCCAACATGTTAGAGGAACAGAACCAAAAGTTGGAAGAGGAATGTCGACGATTGCAAGCACAGCTGACGAGGTCACGGCCAAATGACGAGGTCGTTCAACGTTGGCAGAAGGCTGGCAGTCTCGTGCGTGATTCCTTGCGTGATACGGAGGAGATGGAGATCAGCGAGAAGGGCCTTGGCCGCAGCCTCCAAGGCCAAGTTGGCCACATCCACAGCAACGGTGGCAGCGCTCCGACGTCGCCGTCCTCGTGGTCTCCGTTTCGGCGTCGCACCGCGCGGCTCTCTGCGTCGGAAGATTTGGAACAGCTGGTGTCGACCGTGTCGTCGGAGAGAGATGCTGCACTGGCCGAAAAAGCTGCGAGCGAAGCACACTGTGAGGCACGTCTTCGGGAAATGGACGAAGAAGTCACAGCTCTTCGGCTGCTGCTGGAAGAAGAGACAGCTCGAACTGACACCATGGCACAGCATATTGACTACTTGGGAAGTATGCTGGAGGACAGCAGTGCAAGTGGGGCCTAGAAGGGTTTGTCCACAGCATGCTGCGCTGTGCTGGAATATCAACGCTAGAGCTAGGTCTTTTGCTAGTTGTTTTCCTTCATCTGTTGGGAATGTCAAAAAGTGGAATATATAAATATATTATTATATTGTCGAAGGAAGTTTAGAAGTCAAACTTCCGACAATATGGAGAGATGAAAAAGCAGTCAGCAGGGAGAAGAGTCAGAAGAGAAAAGATCAGAGGAAAGAAGATGCAGGTGCGCGAAAAGGTAGGAAAGTCGCGAAACACTGTGTTTTTTCGTGGTTTTGTGGCTCCGGAGGGTTGAAAAGTAGGCTCGCTAAAGCGGCGGGTGCGGAGACATCTGGGGAGATGAGAGATGAACAGTTGCACGCCGTTGTGGCGCGAAGCCGATTTCGAAGTGAAAAGGTACAAAGCACCTCAGGATCGGACCACTTTTGGAAGTTGAGATGTTGAAAAAGTGCACGGCGTTGTGGCGCGAAGCACATTTGGAAGTAAAATGTGTTAAAAACTGAGGGGTTCGGAGCAGTTTTGGAAGTTGAGATGACGAAAAAGTGCACGGCGTTGTGGCGCGAAGCACATTTGGAAGTAAAATGTGTTAAAAACTGAGGGGTTCGGAGCAGTTTTGGAAGTTGAGATGACGAAAAAGTGCACGGCGTTGTGGCGCGAAGCACATTTGGAAGTAAAAAGTGTTAAAAACTGAGGGTCTCGGAGCACTTTTGGAAGTTGAGATGTCGAAAAAGTGCACGCCGTTGTGGCGCGAAGCACATTTGGAAGTCAAAAGTGTTAAAAACTGGCGGTCTCGGAGCACTTTTGGAAGTTGAGATGTCGAAAAAGTGCACGGCGTTGTGGCGCGAAGCACATTTCGAAGTCAAAAGTGTTAAAAACTGAGGGTCTCGGAGCAGTTTTGGAAGTTGAGATGTCGAAAGAGTGCACGGCGTTGTGGCGCGAAGCACATTTCGAAGTCAAAAGTGTTAAAAACTGAGGGTCTCGGAGACATTTTGGACGTTCAGACGTCGTTTTGTGTGGCAGGTGGAGTGGAATGCGCATCCACTGAAAAGTGACTAAAACATCGAGAGATAAATCGAAAGATGGGTGGCTAGATAGAGAGACAGATCGATCAATAGACCGGTAGATGGATCGACAGATGGACACATAGATCGCTAGATCGAAAGATCGCTAGAAGCGTCGATGACCAGATAAACGCACGGGTAGCTAGATAGATGGATGGATGGCTGGAAGAAGAGGTAGACGGACAGATGCATGGATGAATCGATAGAGAAACAGAACGAAGAACATGGTGATGGATAGCTGTGGACATGGATCGATGAAGAGATGGACGGAAAAAAAACTAACAGAGAGAAGTAAGTCGATGGATGAATGGCTGGATAGACAGACAGATAGACAGTTTAATAGATAGTTGAATAAACAAATCGATCGATAGATACATGAATAGACAGGTAGATAGGTAGATGGCTAGAAAGGTATAGCTCTGTAGATCGATGGCGAAAGAGAGACACAGAGAGAAAGAGAGAAAGAGAGACAGAAAGGGAGAAACACTCAACCACCTTTCAATCCATCAGTGGGTTCGCTCTGCCATTTTTGCGTCACACCAACTCACCTCTCCTATAGGTTTTCCATTTTTGAAACTTCCGCCACCGCCTTGTGCGGTACTACTGGTATTATATTATATATACATACATATATGTATATATATATATTATGTATGGTATATTCATCTCATTCATCTGGTGCTTCATTTTCTCAGGAGCAGCATGCTGTCAACGGAGCAGCAGTGATGTTGAAATCTCTGGGGCTTTCACGCCCTGGATCACCTGAAAGGGGTGAACTGCTGTCTGCAGCCTTAGCCAAGGTGCGGTCGCTGCTACAAAGTGGGTTTAGGGCCTGAGGAGGTGCTGATTCAAAAAACCATGGGACATTTTAGTGGGGATTAAAATTTAATTTTTCATGGGAAATTTGATTTAAAAAAACAACCTAATTTCTTTTTCATGGGATTTTCATGGGATTTGTTTTATGTGTTTTTTGAATGACAACTCCATGACATATCTTTTGAAACCATTGGCACCTCGGCACCCCCATAGCGGCAGGGGCGGCCTGAGGGAAACTCAGCAACTTGGCGCATCTAAAAAGCGCGTGGCTTTGTGGCCGGATGCAGGATCATCTTAGCCAAAAATCGAAAAATGTATGATTATCCATCATTATAATTATATGATAGTTGGTATATGATCATAATATCCATATGGATTCCATATGGATATTGATTCTATTGATCTTAATCATATAATATCATAATCACAAAAACTAAACATGTTAGAAAATCGCCGTTTTTGTTGACCTGTTTTCTTCATCTGTCAGTTCTTCTCCGTTGGGATTCCAAGGCAAGGCTTCGACCTGACTCGGTGGCGTCGCAGGAGGAGGCCCGTTTTGGAAATATTTTTTATGCTGGGGATATGATGGGGGTAGAATCTCAATCTGATTCTCTGATAATCTCTGATTCAAACATCTTCAAAGCTTCTGAATTTCCGTTTTTTTTGCCGTTCGATTAAAAAAAAGACTTCTGTTTGAATCCGCCATCAGCTTCTAGGTGGATCCCTGCTGACCTTTTCGCGTTTTTTTTTTTTGGTTTTTTTGGGGGATGGCGGAGGTACCCAGCCTACAGAGTTTTCTGGCAGATTTGCGCTCCCGTTCTCCATCCCAGAGTCGTAGAAGCCGAGCCCCTCACTGCACTTTGGAGGAATTCCTGGGCGAAAAACCCACGTCCTTGGCCAATGTCACTGCTTCCACCCGAGCTGTCGCATCGTTATCACCAAGTGACACGGACGCCAAAAAGGTGCAGTTGTGTTAAATGAGCCCAGATTCGTATGGCTTATATATAGATACATATCACAATATATATATACACACACTATATACACACTATATATATACATACATACATACATACATACAGACATACAGACATACAGACATACAGACATACAGACATACAGACATACAGACATACAGACATACAGACATACAGACATACAGACATACAGACATACATACATACATGCATGCATGCATGCATGCATGCATACATGCATACATACATACATACATACATACATACATGTCATACATGCATGCATGCATGCATGCATGCATACATACATAAATACATACATACATACATACATACATACATACATACTGTATATATATATATGATATAATATGTATATATATATACATATATATATGGCTTAATTATGGCCCATATATATGGCTTAATTATGGCCTATATATATGGCTTAATTATGGCATATATATGGCTTAATTATGGCCTATATATGGGTCTGTCTGAAAATCGTGTACCATAAATGAGTCCGCTGGTTAACCATCACGTTAACCATCAGTTTCCCTAATAAAAGACCCATTTGGGGATACCCATGGATACCATATGATACCACATTTCCAGACAAACCCATATGGCTTGGTTCCGAAATGGGGCAGAGAGCGATTTTGTTTTTAGCTATGCACCCAACATTGTCAATTCAATGTGGTAAAATGATGTAGAAATATGTAGAATGCTGAGAATCGATTGAAATTGGGGATTCTCCAGTTTTTCAGGCCCTTGATCGGGCCATTTCTCACGTTTTATTCTTCATTTTTCAGAACACAACTCGATGCAGGTCTCATTACTGGAACTGCTGGGGTGGAGCCGTTGCTCCCATTGCGGATCATTGATGTGGTTCTCAAATGGACAAAGCAATGGCAGCAATGGCAGCAATGGACATGGACGCAATCAGAACAATGTCTGCGTGGCAAACGGCAAGAAAAACCTGGCAAAAAGCTGGACCTTGGCGCTTTCTCAGGACAGTTTTGTTGGATTTTCTCCGAGATCTTCACATTCTTCACCCTTTTCCATAGATTTTCCATCGATTTTCCACCGATTTTGGCAGGAAGCTGCTGGCCAACCAGTCAGGGGTCGAACTCTTGGCGGACGGTGACGGCGACACAGTCGCCTCCCTGAAGATCCTGAACTTTCTCTTTTTTGCCTGGAGAGCGAGGTTTTAACGTGTCGTTTCAACATTTTCAGCCATTCTGAACCAAGACATCTAAGGAAATATTCAGACATTCTAAGTCATCCAAAATTCTGACTGAGGAAAGTGATTCCCGGTTCCAATGCTTTTTGGTCAGGAGTTTGTTTCGTGGTCCTGACTCACTCTCATGGGTTTAGCTTGGTTTCCTCACTTTCAAGTAGGATGGATAATGGCTGTTAATGACTTGCCGGCAATTTGGCAAAAAGAGAGAACGTCTGAAAATCTTACATGCATGACCTGCATATTACCTGCAGCACTTTCTCACTTGATCTCACTTGCATCTTTGCTCAGCTTCACTGTGGGATGCTGTGCCTATCAACTTCTGTTACATCCACGTAACATCCTCTGTGGCGGCACCACATCTCCGCAGCTGTTGGGTTCACACGCTCTCATTCAGTGAGCTTCTTGGCAGGCGCCGGTGCTATGGCGGTGCTATGGTGTAACGCAGAGATGTCGTCGTTTTGAGGTCGTTCAGGTCCATGTTCTCCATGGGTTGGTCTCTGTGTCAGGTGCGGCGAATGGAGAAAGTCGAGGTGCGGTCCGATGAACATCGATGAACGTAGGATTCAGCCAGCATCAGCCAGCGGTTTTTGATTTTGGAGGTTTTTTTGGAAGAAATCCATGACGTCTTCGCCAGGCAGCCGTGGTGCCGTGCCCATGTAGAGCGCGGCCACTCTAAAGGCAGCACATGTCTGATGTGGGCAGCAGGCAGCTCACTCAGATCACTCAGATCACTCAGATCGCTTAGTTTCTCCATGTTTTTCGTCGCTTTTTTTTTGGTCACGAAAATCCATGGGAAAATCCATCTGCTTTCAGGACCCCGAAACAAAGCCTTCTGCAAAGAAAGGCAAGTCACCAGGGATCGGATGGACCTGCTCTCAGCATCTCTCAGCAGTTACAGTAGGATAAAGAATGATAAACCAATGGTCAATATATATATATATATATGTATGTATATATATATGTATATATATTATATATATTATATATATTGTATATCAATATGATATAACATGATTTTAAAAAAACAACACATAGAACACATCTAAAAACATCAACAAACAGCCATCTTTCGGAATTTCGGACCTTCAAACCTGGGAGATTCAAATCATCAGACGTCTCAAGAGAGGTCTAAATTTGGGCCCGTTTTTGCCATGTACCGAGGTCAAACTCCAGATGACAGAAACTATGAGGGGTGCCGCCATTGCCTTTCCATTGTTCTTGGCTTGTCATTATTAAACTGTCTGAAGGAAACATTGGGAGTTTCCGAATGGTCATGGGGGTACACTAAAAAATCATCCATTTATAGATGGATTTTCCATTATGAACTATTCATTTTGGGGTACCCCCATGACTTAGGAAGCCTCATAAGCCTCCATCTGATATTGCTTGATACTATTTGTACACTCTATGAAACACATTGATCTACCAAACATGATTCGCAGCCTGCTGCGCAGATTGTGTGTAGGTACTACGGCGAAGATGGTTGGTGGGAGGAAGACGGGTTTGGACCTGAGAGTGAAGCACACTTCCGACATCAAAACGGCCAGTGGATAGATCAGATAGATTGGATAGATATGGATAGATTGGATAGAGCCTTTTGAGATCATTTGATATCTTTTGATACCCCTTGTTTTTCAGGTTTTTTTTTGGGGGGGGCTCCATCCGATCTCATCCGAGCGATCCGATCGAGCCGATGGCCCAGATACCACCACTTTGGAAGCTACGATGCTTCGTCAGGATCCTGGTCAAACTTGATGGATCTTGATGGACTAAAGTTGCTGTTATCATCCACTTCTGCAGAACTTGCAGAACTTGAACTGAAGCGATACCACTGGTGGCTTAGATACTACGAAGAGTGGCATGGAGAGGTGCCCCGAGCTGACCAAAATTCTGCTAACAGCGCAGCTGTTGCGCTGTTGCGCAGTGCATGCAGCGCAGTTGCAGGGGAGAGCTGACGACATCTTTGAGGCTCGTGGATCCGCTGCTCCGACATGCCAACTGGGGATCCGACAGACCATTTCTTGCTTTTCTATGGGACACGCACTATGGGATTTATATGGACAAGTCACCAAGTCCAGAAGTATGGACCGAGGTCGGTCATGTTTTCAGGTCGACCTGTACTCCATGGTCTTTGTCCTTGATGAGAATCTTGCGCCGAAGGTGCGATCAGAGTGAGAAGTCTAAGTGAGAACTGACAGAACGTGGATAGAGTGACAGTGATGAGGGGTTACAAATGAGAGATGATCTGAGAGATCGATTTGAAGTCACAAAGACTCAGATCTCAGATCTTCTCAGATCTTCTCAGTGTCACCGTTTTTTTTCTCCGTCTTGACCTATATTTTGTCCACCGATTTCCACAGATTGCCGTTGGTATTTTCAGCATCCGTTGGTTCCGTTGTGTCTCGGCTCCTCGGCTCCGCTGCATCGTGGAGCTCCTACAGTCGTGTGACAGCATCAGCCACGGCATTGGACTTAGCTTCACCAAGCTGGTTGCAGTTCAGAATGCTAAGAAGGCAGAAGGCAATGGTCATACAATGGTCAGAGAGGTGTCTCCAGATAAAACCCAAAGACCCAAAGACCCAAAGACCCGAAGGCCATTGAGCTGCATCTTGTCACGAAAGCTAGCTTCTGCTAGCTGAAGTCCCTCTTGCTTTAGCAAGGGTTTGGGGGGTGCTGGATCCAATCGCATGAAACTTCATACTTCACTTTCCAGCCCCCCCGGCTGGTTCACAAGCAGTTTGACCGTGGCTCCATCCCCCCTGAGAACGGCTGATTTTCATTGTTTTCATTAGCCTCCCTGCAAAGCTTTCGTCCCTTTACCATCTTTACCATCAAGTTGGGAATTCCATCCATCTCAATCATCTCATTCTTCTGAACGTTTCGAGTCTCAGTTTGTAATTCTTGCCGCTCGGCACATGTGCGTTTTCCATCATTTTCTATGTCCCAGCGCCCTCTCTTCAATCCTGTGGCTATGTTGAAGTTGTTCACGTGTTATTGAGTGAAAAGACATGACAAGTCATGAAAAGTCATGAAAAGTCATGAAACCTTAGAGTCATTTCCTCAAAGAATTGTGGTGGGCTTTTGGTCCGAGGTCATGGCAAGATGGGGCCTAGGATTGCTGGCATCGCTGCTTCTCGCTGTAGCCGCTGAAGCCCAGGCCAGGCTGCTGCTCCATTTTTGTTCGTCAACAGTTCGTCAAAAACGGCACAAGTTGAGCTGCTGATAGATCTGCTTTAAGATCTTTAAGCTGCTTGAAATAGACACGAAGACATGCTTGGAACATGTTGGAACATGTTCGCTGCAACCCTGACGTTGCGCCGCGTCTGACTTCAGGTGGCTATGAAGATAAAGTTGATGTGATTACCCCAACCAACCTGTTGTTCATAGGGGGGTCATGATGTGATGATGTGATGATGTGATGGTGGTGATGATGATGATGATGATGATGATGATGATCATTATCATGATCATGACGATTGTAAGTGTGGAGCAAAGTTTGGGTTGGGGCAAACATGTTTTGTCAGGATGTGCGGAGCCTGTCACTTCGAGGTGCAGGCTGCGGCAACGGATTTGCCGAAACACACCAGATACGACTTGATACGACTCGATCCGATCCGATCCGAAGACACGAGAAACCTGCAGACTCCGAACGGACGCGAAAAGCCATTCAGTGCTTTAAGTGCAAAACCACTGCATTCGGTGCATCAAACACATAATGATACATCATGTTAGATCCGCATCACTGATCTGACTGCAGGGACAGTTCCAGCTGAAACTCCTCTGGAAACTCTAACCGAGCCCCTTGGACCTGTTGGACCTGTTGGACCTGTTGGACCTGTTGGACCTGTTGGACCTGCCCAAAGCCTTCAAAGGTCACCTCAAACGACCTCCGAGACCTCTGAAATCCAGAAGGACCGCGTGTTTGAACAAAGGTCAGCATGGGGTTGAAATTCAACACAGAAACGCATACGGATCGAAAGAACTCTGGACACATTTCGTGTCGTTCCGTGTCGTTCCGTGTCGTTCCGTCGATCAGGAGAGCAGTTGGCTTAGCAGGCAGGCGAAATGGACCGGGAAATGAACCACGTCCTCTCTGGGTTTCAGCTGTTTCAGCTCAGGCTTGGTGGTGGCGGCATCGCATTGGTGGTCTGGGACCCATGTCATCCCATTTCACAGTAAAAGATGGCCCGTGACAATCATGGAAGATGAGAGAACATGATAGACAATGATAGTTCACATGATGGAACATGATCATGGGATATAATTTGATATAATTTATATAATATGGGTGTTTTTCTGAATCCGGGCTGTTTTATAATCTGAAACATGAATCCGGACATGGTTAACATGAAGGGATTCACATCATAGCAGATCTGGATATATCATGATATATCTGGAACTTCGAAGATCATCTTCGATGATCTTCGGTCTATTGAGGTGATCTCAATCTCTACAGTTCCTGCTTGTGTCTTTGCTGCTTACAAGCGGATGCAGCTCAGCTCAGAGATCTCAGAGGAGTCGAGGAGTTTTCTGTCATTTTTCTCCATGTTTTCTCCATCTTTTCTGAGAGATTCTGAGTTGAGGCTACAGAATGGTGATGCCTTTGACTTCCTGCTTCCTTTCGGCAACAAGGCCTCGAAAGATCTCGAAAGATCTCGAAAGATTCGAATGTCTTCAGCCATGTTGTCATGTTGTCCCATGTCACTGGGCCATGTCACTGGGCCATGTCACATGTCACATCATGTCACATCATGTCACATCATGTCACATCATGTCACATCATGTCACATCATGTCACATCATGTCACAAAAAATCATCTCATGTCACATTTCATCGTCTTCCGATTCCGAAACTCCGAAACGCCAATTTCATACCCATAGGATCCATGGTGCTGCTATATATGGTGCTCCATGGATCCCATCAATAGAGCCCCTTTATGTTAGCATATATATAATATGATATAATATGTATAATTATATATATATAATTATATATATAATGTCAACCCTGGATTAATAAACCCCTAGATTGTTTAATTGGGAGGGTACCATTTAAGTATCATATTATGACTATCGGAGGGGTACCCCCCTAATTAATAAACCATGGTTTATTAATCCGGGGTTGACATTATATGTTATATATATATCCAGCACCAGCCGGATCCTATGGGTATGAAATTTCACCTCGCCCTGGCCTCGGCGTCCGGCGTCGCCCATTCGTGGCCTCCAGGCGGAGGACTCTGAGAGCGAAAGCGACGCCTGACGGATGGAAAGGGTTCCGATAGTTCGTGAGGGTGTCAGTTACCCGTTATGATCCCTTATGTTTCCATATTAATTATACCATATTATACCATGCACATTAATATATCATATAAATATATGAATTGCATTTGATTGCCATATGCCAACACGACTTTTTACGAGCTTCTGATATCTGATCAATATCACTAGTTCATGATGTTCATGTTATCTAAGATATCTAAGTCTAGCAATGTCTGTCCATGAGCAGTGTTTCTGTAAAACACTCTCAACAACGACGTGAAGGTCACTGCCCGACAGTGCTGACAATGCCATGGCCGTCCAAAGTGGCGGATCCCGACGTGAAAAAATCGTGACAGCTTCGGGATGATTTAAAAGATCCATCTTTATATGAAAAAATGTGTTTTGTTTTTATAGTAGTGATCAATATTAATTATTGAGACATATACATATATATATAATATATATATAAATCATCATGTTACATCATATTATATCATATTATATCATCATATTAGTATATATCTGTGATGATTTGTGCATCTGACAATGTACTGACTTCACTGCCAGGATATGTACAACGGCTTTGAGTTTGAAGAGAAGACCTTCCTTTTCTCAATCGAGGTGTGGAGTTTTTTTCCCCTGGCTTTCCCATGCTTTCCCAGACCTTCAGCTACGCTGAGGCGGAAGATGTAACTCCCAGTACTCCAGCCGCATGGAAGCCTGAAACCAAGTTGAGCCACGAGATGTCTCTTGAGACCACCAAAGGTTTTTTCCGTGTTTTTTGTCCCATCATGTTTTGTTCGTTTTCATTGTGTTCCATGATTTTTGTGGAGGGTTGAGTCAACCGGTTCCATCTCCGGCGACTGTTTTCCTCCTTGTGGATGAAACAATGACAGGTGAAACATGCTGAATTTCCTTTTTCTCCAAATAAAGGGAGTTCCCAGAGTTCCCAGGGTCCCAGGTGGGAATCTGGTAGATACCTGAGGTCCAGACCTCTCAAAATCCATCCAGAGCCGCCGCCCTACAGAAAGGACTGGCGGTCCCGCAGGTCGTGCAGGTCGTGCAGGTCGCAGGGCAGGTGAAGCGCCACAGCGCCGGCAGGACATGGCCTCTACACCGCCACCGCGAAGTGGAGCGGCGACTGATGCCAACACGGGAGGTGGGGGGGGCTCTGCTCTCAGAGTTGATCAGTTTCAGCGTTTTTTTTCCCAGGAACTTTAATATCTTTAGTCAGCTGGAGATGTAAGTTATTGTGAGTTGATGTTGATATTAATGTTGAAAGACATGTTGTTTTCTTTTCAGACATTTCCAGATGATATTTCCAGATATTTCCCGATATTTCCAGATGACAGTTACCCTCTGGTAAACATACAAAAAGCTATTGAACATGGTGATAGAAATAGTGGATTTTCCCATTGAACATGGTGATTTTCCATAGTTTTTTGTATGTTTTCGAGGCCGGGTACACTGTTTCTACAGAGTTCCAGTTGTTGCTGAACGATGCCAGGATCCAACACCCCAACTGCACCTGGAGGTCGAACACCTCGTTGGAGCCACAGAAACTACCAAACAGCACATCTTCAGACGTCGCACATGTTTCAGCATGAAACATGGCTATGGATCAATACCTATGGATGAAACATGGTGAATATATATAAGTGATGGTTAATGGGATGATTAATGGATGATTAATGGATGATGGCTATGGGTCAATACCTATACATACCATTTTTAGGGGGTTATTCACATCCATAAATCCCAGCTATTTTGATGTGAACAGAAGGGGTACTATTGGTTTTGACCCATCCCCATGTCAGGTTAAGTGACGAAGTTGATGTTGAAGGATGTTGAAGGATGTTGAATGATGTTGATGTAGATGCTTGCGGATATTGCGTGATGCCACCAATCCAGAATATTTCGATAGATTTCGCATGTCACATTGCCAATGCACAGTAGAAATGATGCGGCCAATTTTGAGACGAAACTCATCCAAATTAAATGGGTTTGTCCAGATGTTGGGTATACAAGAATCCACTGCCAACAATAATTAACTACTGTTTTGATCGAAAGTTCCATTTTTTGTACCAAACAAGTTGCAAGCAAGAAAAGCAACATCTCCAGATTGCAGGCGTGTTTTTATTTGATTGGTGAAATGCCCTGGATATTCTTTGAACCACATGACGCTTTGGAGAATCCTGGAAAATGCAGGGAACAACATTCTGATGATCCGAGGGTATCCTTCTCAATTTACTCCTTCTTGATATGCCCTTAGTAATGTTTATTACTTATATTACTTCAAATCAACGTTCTGCTCGGGACTTCAACGCGAATATTTTACAGGACACCGAAAAATCTTTGGTGACCGACGAAGTCCTTCAAAAGTTCCCTGAAATTCATTTGTTTTTCTTCATAACAAGGCGTTTGAATTCCCTACAGGGCCGCTTTGATAAGGCCCGCTCTAGCTGAGATCATAAGGGGAAAAGTATGCAGCTATTTGAAACTAGCAAAATCGAAGTCAAAACATGTCAAAACTAGATTGGCCAAAGCTAGAAAAAAGGACAACTAACGAAGTCCATTGACCCCTGCACTCTGCTATCCATCTTTTTCCATTCCCTTCCATCTTTTTCCAAGCGCGTCCGGGTTTTCCGACCTACTTTTCTCCTTTCAAAACCGCCTTTTTTTCACCTCACCACAAAAACCACCAGGGCCTAGATGTTTCCCGATGTTTTTTCTTGATGTGTAACATGTGTAACAGCTAGAAAAAGCAAACCAAAAGAACCCCAAAAAAACAACAGAACAAAACTCTTTTCCAGTTTTCGCAGCTCCTGGAGGTGGTTCTAAATTCCATGTTGTCACGCTTGTCACATAGTGAAGCTCCACTTTTTTAGCAAAATCGAGTTTGAAGCTGCAATACCAAAGGTAAAGGAACCCAAGAAAGACTCAAGAAGGATTTGGGCTATATTTTCCCTCGATTTTCCAGGATCCAAAGTCATTCAAAGAAGACCACATCAAAGAAATCCTCTTCGCTTAAGATTGCAGCTCATAGCATTGGTGAAATATGGTGAAATGCTTCAAGAAACCATGAAACATATGAAACAACTTAACCAACCTGCAGATCTTGTGCCATTCACTGCAATTCTGCATGGACAGGATGTGCAGTTGCTCAGGACAGAAGGCTGCCATTCCTCCAAAAATGGATACGCCGAAAGATGTCACGTTGCCAGCCCTTGCCACAACGCCGCCGAGAAGGCGCGCACGTCATCAGAGGAGTCAACCAGTTGACTCCGAGGACTCCAAGGGACTCAGAGGACTCAACAGCTAAAGATGCTGATCACGCTGCAGGCCTGTGGAACCTCCCAGTAAAGAGGACTAACCATGACTAACCATGGTGGCCTGTTGGAACCATGTCATGATGTCACCACGATGTCACCATGATGTCACCATGATGTCACCATGAGGACTCTGAGCAGTCGGGAGACGAGCTGGCGGGCAAGATCCACATCAATAACAAGCAGCTGGAGCACTTGAAGCAAAAAATGCAGGCGACGTGCGGCGCGTGCCCAAAAAAAGAGACAAAAGGATAGACCAACAGGGTGACCAACAGGATCCAACAGGGTGAAAAGACCGGTGAACTTGGTGAACCACAATTAGATCGAAATCTTTCCTGTTCATTCTGTTGAACAACGGACAGCTGGTTTCAGGTGTTAGACATCTCAGATTCTGACTTATTTGGCTACTAAAACATACCAAAACCGCATTCCACTGGAAGGCATTGAAGCAACGCCGGGCAAGCTTGCCTGAGAAAGAGAAAGATGACAAAGATGGCAAGGAAAAGGACAAGGGAAAAAAGGAGGAGAAGAAGGACAAAGAGAAGGTGGAAAAAGAAAAGGACAAAGAGAACCACAAGAAGGTTGGATCATTTCGACCACGTTTCACTCAAGCAAACTATCCCAAATGCTCCATGTATGGAATATTTACCTACATTTACCCCAAAAACGACCCAAATGTAGGTAAATATTCCATACATGGAGCATCTGGGTATGAGTTTTTTTTTGTTTTTTTTTGACCAGTTGCACTAGTCCTTTCAACTCAACACAGATCGTTGCAGAGTCCAGGACGAAAGCCATACCAACGGGCCAAAGAGGAGTGTCCTTTGTTCATGTTTCTTGCACGATATTATGATACATTATATATATACACAGCTTACAGAACTCATCTAACTCTTGTGACAACTTATATCACGTATGCAACTCATAGAACTTATACGAATTATATGACACATTGATATAAAACATATTAGTGATATAATGATATATTATATATATATTATGTATATATCAATGCATCATATAATAATCTAAATAATCTAATTTCATAGATAGATTAATCGCCCCGTGCCAACACCATGTTGGGGCAGGACTGAGGGCACGGTGCATTCCAATTGTCCTGGCGCACACGGCCTGAGTCTCTTCAAAACACCTGCCCGTGGCTGGTGGTCATTGCCTCAAGTTGCCAATATTTTGTTATCAATAATCATAAACTTGATATAACTTCATCATTATCTGATAGCAATATCATGCAATATCCATTTATTTATCATTATAGGATATCAATTATTTTGCCTCGATGAATCGAAGCTGAACTGGTAAAAACCGATGTTAAGACCGCTGCAGGTGCAGTGTTTGCGAGAAGGAGCATGACAAGGCTCCGAAAAAGGAAAAGGTACTCCTGTACTGCGTTTCGTGATGTGAACTCGTTTAACTTCATCATACTTCATCTTAACGTCGTTAACTTCATCTTCATGTATTTTATATTCATGTTTCTTTTACGCCACCTCGGAGGGCTCCGCCTTCTACGGCTGTCGCACCTGCGACTACGACGAATGCGAAGCTTGTGCCATGACACCGCGACCAAAGGCAGCACCACAGGCACCACAGGTCCGCGTTCTCAGCTCTGATGGGAAAGAGATGGAAAGAGTGTGATCTCAACATGACGAAAAAATCAAACATCCGGTTGAGAGCTGCATGTTCTATGTTGTTCGAACAACTCAAGTTCCTTCCGCTGTGATTTTTTGGTGCAATTTTTTCGAGCTCTGTGCCAGGTTCCTGAAAAGCAACCGGACAAGCCTTCCGCACCCGTAGAAGCCAGTCGGAGCACCTACATGCGCTACAACCAGCTGAGATCAGCTGGTCAATCTTTCAGAGACACAATGGAGGGCTATTTGTTTTAGCTTTTTTTTTTTGGCATTTGATTTGTTGTCCTGGCTCCTGGTGGCTTCGTGGCTTCTGTGGCTTCTGTGGCTTCTGTGGCTTCTGTGGCTTCTGTGGCTTCTGTGGCTTCTTAACTTGTCCAATTATGTGATCATTATGTGATCATTATGTGATCCTTTCTGTGCATGTTCCCTTTGGGTTTCCAAAATGGTTTCCCTTTGGGTTTCCCTTTGGGTTTCCCATGCCACGATTTTCCGATAGATTCTGTGGTTTTTTTTGCCAAGGTCGAACGAACAATTCAAATTCAACTCCGGTCAAAACTCGAGGCGAGAGTCGCGGCGAGAGCTTCGGGGCTTCGGTTTGTTCGTTTTATTTTTTTCATTCATTGCCCATAGGATCCATGTATGGTATATATGCTAACATTGGGGGTATATTGATGGTAAATGTTACCATATATAGCATACATGGATCCTATGGGTTGGTGTTGTGCAGATATGTGCAGATGTATGATGTAATGATATGTAATGTCAACCCCGGATGAATGTCAACCCCGTTTACGGCTGTTTTTCATTGGGAGGGTACCATAGAAGTATCAGATGAAATGATATGAAATGACTATTGGAGGAGTACCCCCCTAATTAATGTCAACCATGGTTTATTAATCCGGGGTTGACATTACATCAGTATGATGATGTATGATGTATGTGTCGGCATGGTGCAGCTTCCTGCGACTCTTTTTGCGATGATTCTGCCAGGCACCACAAAGAATTCCACGTGAGATTCTCATGAATACGATGCGTCGTGGTTGTAGTGGTGTTTTTCTGGCGTTTTTCTGACCAATTTGCCAAGGCCTCCTCCAAAGAAGAAAGGCAAGACTTGGTGCAGAGGAAATACGAACTCAATATTTTTTCGTCGTTTCATTTAATATCATGTAACGTAGCACACCAACAATTTCCATGGTTTATTGGCCCATTGGCCCCCAATTTGCCGCAGTTTCCTCGAGTTCTTCGTCCTCTTCAAGTTCAGGCGCCGCTGACAATGACGACACAACAAGCCGATACAGAAAAAACACAACGGACCAGAACTGTCCAACTCTAAAAGGTTTTTTCTCTCAATCATTCTCTCTTAAAGTATTCTCTAGGCATATCTAGCCATATCTTAGAACGACACTGGCCTCTGGCCGCCCGTTCTTTCCGACGGAAGGTGACTCGAAGTCATCGAAGTCGCGGTCGCCCTCGTCGCCATCGAAGAAATCGCCGCCCAAGAAGGAGACAATCGGTCGCCGATCTCGGCAGAATTAGACGTTTTGAAATCGGATTCAGATGAAGAGCAGATGAACATATCAGATAAATCTGTTAGATGAATATCTCAGATGAATATATCAGATGAATCGATCATATGAATATATCAGATTAATATGTCAGTTGAATATATCAGATGAATATGTAGATGAATATATTAGATGAATATATCAGATGAATTTCCAGGCATCAAGCTATTAAGCAGATGAAATTCTATAAATTGGAAGGAGACCAAGAAGGACAAGGGAGATTCGAAGAAAAAGGTGCGGAAGAACTGTTGCTTTGGGGGCACAATTCTGCAATACACTTCCAGATTTTCCAGCTGATTCCAGGGGTAATTAGTAATGGCCCGAGCCAGGCCAATTCAAAAGAAAAGAATGTCAAGAAGGGCGATGCAAAGCGCGACGTAGCCGAGCCCAGATTAGCATCAATTGCTATCCTACAGAATCCTACATGTCTTCATTTCGTGCTGATGAAATCTTCGTCACAATGTGAAACCACGTGAAACCTAAGGCGCAGGACAAAGGCGACAAAGGCGGCAAAGGCGACAAAGGCGACAAAGGCGACAAAGGAGACAAAGGCGACAAGCGAAAGGCGGCCAAAGTAAAGGTGAAGAAAACAGTCAAGAGGTGTGGCGGGTGTGGCGGGTGTGGCGCGACAGAAATTGCTTTGCAAAATGTTGAGATCAAAGGAGATCTGCTCGATTTCAGATGGAACTCTCAGGCCATGCAAAGCCAAGTCGAAGTCCAGGTCTGACGACAAGTCGGACGACAAGGTACTGCAGTTCTAGGGTTGTTTGATGTTGCTTTATGTCAACTTTATGTCAACTTTATGTTGCTTGACACTTTGGAAAGAACGCAGCCAGCGCCCTGTGAGATGTAAAAAAATGGTACATAAAATTGTTACATCAATCTGTCAGGCGAAGAAAAAATCCAAAAACACACGTAAAACGAAGCGTGCTGCTTCTGCTCCTTGGATTACTGGATACTGGAGGCCTATATCCTACCGATTCCTACGGTTACCGAACATGTTTGCATATTCAAAATAGTTCACACTTATTGAGGGAATTCCGAGTAGCAAAGACTTCTTGACTATTCTTGACTCTGCGTGAAAGAGGCGTGACGCTGGAAGCGTTTGCAACCATGCTTTGACTTTTTTTTGAATCCTAGCTTGTAAATGTACGTGTCGTCTGTGTGTTTGTGCGTGTGATGTGTATTATGTGTGTGTTTCATGTGTGCTTGTTATTTTTCATTCTCTTTCTCTTGTCCAGATTGTATATAGTTTCTGCTTCCTGTCCCAAGGATCCCAAGCTTGTACCGCGCAAGAAGGATTCAAAGGAAGCGAAAGAAGAGAGTCGAGAACCAAAGCAGAAGCCTCAGAATGTCTCTGTGGGACATGGACCACAGCCTGGATGACGGGAATCTACCCTCTGGTAAACTAACATAGCTATGGAAAATCCCCATTTTCAATGGGTAAATCCACTATTAATGGCCATTTTCAATAGCTATGTTAAATTACCAGAGGGTAAATCTCCACTAATCTCCACAGTCTTCACGGTGACACACAGAAAGCACCGGAATTTGCATCCTTAAGGCGCCGCAAGGAGAAGGAGGTGCCACGGCCATGTTCTCACTTTTTTCTTTTTTTGAATTCATTGATTTGAAGATATTTTAATTGTAAATAATTGTAAATAATTGTAAATAATTGTAAATAATTGTAAATAATTGTAAATAATTGTAAATAATTGTAAATAATTGTAAATAATTGTAAATAATTGTAAATAATTGTAAATAATTGTAAATGATTGTAAATGATTGTAAATAATTGTAAATAATTGTAAATAATTGTAAATGATTGTAAATGATTGTAAATGATTGTAAATAATTGTAAATAATTGTAAATAATTGTAAATAATTGTAATATCCCCGACAATTCTATTTAAATTGCTTGGAAGATCTTATATTTGAAATCAGATTCAAATTCCACAGAAAATGTCACCAGCTTTGCTGGTTCCGGTTCCAGGTATCTCCAAAGAAAGCTGCCCGGTCACGCTCCAGGGACGACTCTTCTCAGAGCGAGGTGCGCGATTTTCGTATCCAGAAAATCTGTCCAAGATGATCTCAGGTGTTCTCTAACTGGTTGGTGGTTTGGAACATGTTTTATTTTCCCCAATAGTTGGGATGATGATCCAATCTGACTCATATTTTTCAGGGGGGTAGGTATACCACCAAGATTTTTTCAGGTGTTCTTTTTGATTTGGAGGTTTTGGAGGTGAAACAAAGCCAGAATCCAGACTGTACCATGGTGTACCCCTATTTTTCCAGCTGACATGACATGTCCGGAAGTCTCTGCAGAGATGCAGCTTGAGAAACCTCAAAAAAGGAGCCTCCAAAGAAAAGGGCTGCGAATGCCCTCACGGCTGCGACCTTGGTTTCAGATGGTTTCAGGGGTTGTTTTTTTGTTGCCCATAGGATCCATGTATGCTATATATATATATATGGTAACATGGATCCCATCAATATACCCCAGTCATGTTAGCATTTTTCTACCAGCACCAGCCGGATCCGTCATGGGTTGTGTTCTTTTTCAAAGCCTTCGGAGACGCTAAAAATGTGGAGATCGGGCGCCTCAGGTGGCTGCGGAGCGAGCTCCAGTGAGTTTGACGCGTGCCTCCGCGTGCCTCGGAAAGTTGGCTGTCCCAATGTTGGCTGATTCTCGTTGCTAAATATCATCCGATGCCATATCATCCAAAGTCATCTAATATCATCTATACATAATATATAATTATATATATACATAATTATAAGAGATGATATTAGATGACATTGGATGACATCTCATTATATATATATAATTATATATATACATGTTTTGGTCCGGTGCTCAACTGTGGTTAAGTAACCAGCACAAAACACCACGTGTTCCTTTGCCATTGGCTGCTCTGCAGGGCCAGACGCGAAGAAGAAAAGCCGCCTGCTGACGAGGCTACGGGCGAGTCACTGTGCGATAGACTTGGAGACCAAAGTGCGATGCTTCCAAGTCTACTATGGATATGGTAAAACCACCATTTTTATGGTAAAAACCACCATTTTTTTAATGGTAAAACCACCATTTTTATGAACACATATCCATAAAATGGTGGTTTTACCATAAGAATGGTGGTAAAACCACCCCTTTTACCCTACTTGTAGTTTCAAGTTTCAAACCGAAAACTGAGCGTTTTATGAACCAGGAACTTCCAACATGAAATTCGTGGCAACCACATTGAACCACAGGGCACGCGTGCACGTCGGAATGCGCCTGCTGCGCCTGCTGAAGCAGCAGAGGTTGGGGATGTTGGGGGAATCTGGAAAACAGTGAGGCTGATGCAAAAACATTCTGAACTTGGAAAGGATGATTTAGATTTGCATCAGAATGTTAGTTATTATGTTATAGATTAGATGATTATTAACTTATGATTTAGATTTATTATGAGTTATTCACGTCGCTTCGCGACGGCAACCGCCCGCACCGCATCGTTGGGCTCACACAGCAGGGGAATAGATAGAGAAAGATAGACCGATAGATAGATAGAGAGATATATATCTATATATATATAATATATATATATAGAGATCATATATGTACATATCAGTGAGCGGTCCACACTGTTAATGATGTCAGCCATTGTTCTCTTCTACTGCCATTGTTCTCTTCTATTGCCGTCGCTCCGCGACAAGAACCCGTGTGCGGCCGCCACGGTTTGAACGATGTTGTTCTCACACCTTCGCGACCGCTCGTAACTGCCAATGATGTCGGCCATTGAGACCAAAAACATCCGAAAGTACTGATTGTCGGAAAAAAAAACGCGAAGAATTTGATAGCCATGAATAGCGGACCAACGCAGTTCAAAAAATAACGAAAAACATGAAAAAACGGCGAAATTGCTGTTATTTACAGTGTTTTTGCGCGGTGAGAAGCAGAAACCACTGCAAATACCATGGTTTTTGAGGGTCAGGTGGCCAAAAACACTGTAATTTACAGTGTTCCCCACCTGCCAGGTGAGGGTTGTTAGATTTTATGTCAGTTGCCTCCTCGTCCTCCTCCTTCTCCTCCTTCTCCTCCTCCTTCTCCTCCTCCTCCTCCTCGTCCTCCTTGTCATCCTTGTCGTCCTTGTCGTCCTCGTCGTCCTCGTCGTCCTCGTCGTCCTTGCTCAACTGCGACCCGCGATCCACAGTGTTCTCTGCCGGACCTCAACCACGACCACCCACGCCCAGTGTTCCCTGCCGGACCTCAACCACGACCATCCACGCCCCCTGCCGGTGTTCCCAACCGGACCTCAACCACGTCCACGCCCATCCTGCCCAGTGTTCCCTGCCGGACCTCAACCACGACCATCCACGCCCAGTGTTCCCTGCCGGACCTCAACCGCGAGTATCCACGCCAAGTGTTCCCTGCCGGACCTCATGTAGGAAGATATGGACAAAGAATGTGCAGAAGAAAGTTAGAAAGAATGTCAGAAAGAATGTCAGAAGATATGCCAGAAGATATGCCAGATAGAATGCCAAATAGAATGCCAGATAGAATGCCAGAAGATATGTCAGAATATATGCCAAAGATATGCCAGATAGAATGCCCGATAATATGCCAGATATGCCAGATAGAATGCCAGATAGAATGCCAGAAGATTTGCCAGATAGAATGCCAGAAAATATGCCAGATAGATATGCCAGAAGATATGCCAGAAGATATGCCAGAAGATATGCCAGAAGATATGTCAGAATATATGCCAGAAGATATGTCAGATAGAATGCCAGAAGATATGTCAGAATATATGCCAGAAGATATGCCAGATAGAATGTCAGATTGAATGCCAGAAGATATGTCAGATAGATGCCAGAAGATATGCCAGATAGAATGCCAGAAGATTTGCCAGATAGAATGCCAGAAGATATGCCAGAAGATATGCCAGATCATATGCCAGAAGATATGCCAGATAGAATGCCAAATAGAATGTCAGAAGATATGTCAGATAGAATGCCAGAAGATTTGCCAGTAAGAAAATGTATAAATGTCATGGTGGGGATCACACGAAGTAAAGTATTTTTTTTAACCAACGTCAAAAAACACTGGTATTTACGATGTTTTCATTCACACCGTAACATAAAACAGCGTAATTTACGAGGTTTTTGGAAGTTTTGAAGCTAGCCGTCAAGCATGCAGAAAACAGAAAAACACTGTAAAAACCAGTGTTTCTGCTATCACAAAACGACGAAAATCAGTCCGAAAACGGGTCCAAAAACTCAAAAATCCGCCTCCGGGCCAGGCCACCTGCGGAACCGCAAAAAAAGATGTTGCAAACCAAAAAATTGAGGTCAAAAAGTTGAAAAACACGGTTTTTTTCACTTTTCGCTTGCCGATTTTGGACGGGCGCGTTCACGAACAGGTGTCTTCCGTACTGTTTTTTACAGTGTTTTTTGAAGGCGAGCGTCACGACCTATCAAAAACAGGAGGTTTTGGCCGAAAAATGCCCCCCCCCCCAGGTAAACCTGTAACCTTTTACGAGTGCCATCCGGACGATCACGCCCCAGCACCTTCGGTGCGGGCGGATTTAACTTATTAGCAACTTTAACACAAAATCCAGACATATCCAGACTAAATATACTAAATTCGATAGTTCCAATAGCTGTCAAATCAAAAGGGGCCAAGGGTACTGGCTGGTTGGGCCTACAGCTATCGATGGAGGAATCAATGAATCACGACACACTGACCATTGAAAAATCATGGAACATGTCCCATGATGCAAAAACATGGTCACGTCGCCAGTAGGAGCACTGGAGTGTTGTCAATTTTGAAATGAACCATTTTCAAAGATCTCATTCGAATTTGCAACCCTCGTGGGTGTTTCAAGAACATCGATGAAATTTCTCAAATACATGACAGTCAAAATTCCTTGTAACGCGGTCAAACAATGACTTCTTTCTGTTGAAAACACCGTGAGGGTCATCAAATTTCACTGCGCAAGTTGTAGCACCCCCTTTTTTTCTTTGGCGATCAGCGAGTTTCTGCACACAGTTGTCCAAGTTTATGGAACAGACTTCCAGAGACCTGCTGTCTCCAGTAACCTTGGTAGAGGTAGGCCCAAAGCTCCTCCTTGATCTTGCCAAGTCTTTTCGTAATCCGTTGCTTTGGAACAGCACCTTTCGCATGTTCCCATTGTCGATCTAATTGCTGCGTTCCTGCCGACAACTTCCCAGGGCGTTTTCTGGTGAACTCGGCTTTCGAATGTTTCACGACCCATTTCAACTTCTTCCGGGGCCAAGATTTGCCAGCCTTCTTCCATCCCATGGCACCATGTAGCATGTGGTCTGCGGCTTCAAACAAGACACGATATTGGAAGTAGTGATTTCTCCACACGATTCTTGAGGACGCTTTCCGTATGGGGAGGTGAGCTTCCAGGGACACGGTTCATCAAGAGCGTCTTACAAGTTACAAGAAGAAGGTCAAAGCGTGTGGCAAGGTACAGTGCAAGAGAGAGTTGATAGCATAGCAGCAAGTCCAAGAGCATATCTTGTAAGACGACCAGCCAAGAACGTTATTAGCCCCTCCCAACCCCCCCCATTTTTTTCTCATTTGCTGGCTTGAAAGGAAATGATACCTTGCAGCTATTGCACATTCCTAATTGGGAAAAAGATGTGGCAACTTCAATGCTGCCAAAAGGTCAAGATGAAGGGGGTGTGGTCATGTACTAACAGGCCTTGGTTGGTGGTCAGGAAGCCAGCTGGCATCAGACCTGATGGCCGTTCCTGCTTCAGCCGCTTCTGCCAACCAACCGTACATCTCACCCCACTCCACAGCCGACACATTCGGCCACCAACCTCCCCCCACAGGAGGCGCCCACACCAAAAACATGGAGACACATCTCGAAAAACAGTGGAGAAACATCTCAGCGCAACGAAAATCCCAACATACCCTCCGGTAAACTGTCACATAACCATGGAAAATCACTGTTTTTAATGGGTAAATCCACTATTTCTATGGCCATTTTCAATAGATTTTTCTATGTTTACCAGATGGTATCCCAACCATGGCATACCGTGCGGCGGCGTATTGCCAGGCTCGCAGATCGCGGGGAGCTGGTGGAGATCTCTTGCGCAGGCGGACCTCTGAGACATCGACATCCAGAGATGAAACATGATGAAACGATGTTCACATATAGAGACAGAATATATTAAATGGTTAATATATGGTTAATATATGGTTAATATATGGTTAATATATGGTTAATATATGGTTAATATATGGTTAATATATGGTTAATAATGGTTTTAATGGGATTCCAATGGTTAATACATGATTAATTATTAATATATAGACTATAGATACAGTGTATATTAATTTATATTATATTCATCATAAGCTTCCTGGCGGAGCCACGTTTTCTTTGCTCAGCTTTCACTCTTTTGGAGCGGGGAGCTCTGGGAGCTTCGCCAGGGTTCTGCGCGCGAATGCGGTCCACAATGCTCGACAGGCTGAACTCGGAGACCCCCATGGTCCCATGGGGTCCCATGGTCCCATGGTGTGTCTGACGTGGGATTTGCTGAGGATTTTGATGATTTTTGATGACATGTGTAAGATGACTAAATGACATAAACATACATAAGATGACATAAGATGACATAAGATGACATAAACTTTAAACATCTTTAAACACAAGCAATACATATGTGGCATTCATAAGCAGTACATCACAAGAAAAACATCGGTGACATCGGTGATTTCGGTCAGGATGGTGGTCCCACAAGATCCAAGGCGCTTTTTTTTCTCGATTCGCAACGGTGGGATTGGTGGATTCACCCTGGGAGTTTTTTTTTCAGTTTCTGATCATTAAAAATGGTGATTTTCCCATTAAACATGGTGATTTTCCTGCAGAAAAATGCTAAAATCTGGTGCAATTTCAGAAGTTTCTCCAGCATTTCACAGCTTTGGTGAGCCTCGCACTGGAGGAAGGTGAGCCTCGTGCGACTTTGGTGCCTCCCACTCGCAAGGTGGTGGATGAAAAAAAAAGCATTGGATGCACAAAGAGTCAATGTTATTCATGTTTTGTTGATAGCAATTTTATAGCACTTCATGCTTTTTTAAAATAAAGACATATAAAAACCCAAGAGTAATTGATGAAATATGATGAAATTCTGGAGGGGAAAGGTCAGGCTTCACTGCCAGATGATCTCCAAACAGCAGCCTGCTCTGCAAGTCATAGGACGAATCATCCAGCGAGGAGAGTCAGGGCCCAAGGGCCCAAGAGTCGTGCAAGTTGCTTCAGTCGTTGCTTCAGTCGTTGCTTCAAGTCGTTGCTTCAAGTCGATCTAGATCAGAAGTTGATGGCTGTAAAATGTCTACATTCTGAATGAATATATAATATATCAACTTACATATATAGTTGTATGAATATATTATTGTTGATACACATGGCTGTATGAATATATAATAATCTGTAACACTATGTATGAATTATGTGGATGAACTTTGGATGAGTTGTGCACTGTATCATCTGTATCGCCAGGTGTACCGCGAGGTGCTGCAACCTTGAGGCCGTGACGGACTTTCGACAGAACAGCAGTGGGTTATGGCTTGTTCGTTTAGATTGTGCATATATTGTGCATATATTGTGCATGTTGCATGTACATGTAAATATATGCATATTAATATAGGTTAAATTAATAACGAACTCGTTTAATGATAGCATACTTAGATTCGTGATGATGACTATATTATATAAATTATGTAGTTGATGGATTAGTTGATGCCTCTGGGGGTTCCGAAATCCGACATCCAAAGATGCAAAGATGTCCAAAGTTGTGTTGCTGGTTTTCAAGAGCTTTGCAAGATGTAGCAGCAAGAAGGGATGTTAACCTTATGTTAATCATAGAATTGGATGATGGGAAAATTTTAGCCGGAAGCCCCATCAAATTTGATGGTAAAAACCCATGGGTTTCCGGTTAAGATGTTCCCTTACTTCACCCAGCCCATTGAGTTAACCGATGAGAAATCCTGCTGTTGCCGTTTGGAAGGCCTCCCCAAGACAGAGGTATCAAGAAGGCCCGGGGCCGTCGAGTCCGAGCAGCCCAAGGGGGCCAGAGCTGTCACTGAACGAGCATCGCTAAGAAGCTAAGAAGAATAGAAGAAGCTGGGCCTTACACGCATATGCAATATATATATTATATACTCGGAGTATATATATATATACATATTATTATATACACACATACAATGTACATCTATCTTATCCATCTATCCATCTATCCCTCATGGTCACGGTTTTGGATCGCCTCGTTTCAGGCTGCGGAAGCACGCAAGTCGCGAAGGGTTTAACCTCGCGACAATGTGGAGCAAGTAGTGGAGCGTTTGTGGAGCGTTTGTGGAGCACTGGAGATCGGATCAATACCACACATAGATACAATGATGCAATGATACATATATAAATTATTACATATGTGTGTATGAAAAACATACTGATTTCAGAATTAGATTAGATTACACACATATGTCAAAAAAAGTAGTAATAATAATAACAATAACAATAATAATAATAATATATATATAATAATAATACTAATAATAATAATACTAATAATAATAATAATTATATATATAATAATAATACTAATAATAATAATAATAATATATATAATAATAATACTAATACTAATAATAATAATAACAATATATATATACACATATGTGTACGTTTCTACGTCTCAAAGTGTCAATCTCTTTGCTGACCACCACGCCGGACCAAGGGAGCCAAAAAAAACTTAGCGCTGCTCAATGGAGCCGTTTCGTTGCAGCTCCCGCCGTGGAATTTGCCCTGTTGACCTATGATATCCATTGATATCCTATCATCATTTCGACATATTGAGCAAGACATCAACTGACATCAGCCCAGCCATGCAAGACAGCAAGACCCAGTATATACATATAATTATACCGTTTATATACATATATACATATATACTTGGCTCAACACTGTTCATACTTGTTGATTCATGCTTATTCACTGCACCTTGATGCTGATGTTGTACCTGAATGGCGCTTGTGGTGGATGCAGCGATCGCCTGTGATCGCAACGCCGTGAAGTTCCGTGAAAATTGGCCGTTCGAAGAGCCAGAGCCGAGCGAAAAAGTCCCACTGAGCGAACTGTGGATGAACATCTGTCATGTGTATATTTGATGTATGTTGATGTATATTTGATGTATGTCGATGTACGTTGATGTGTGTTGATGTATCTTGATGTGTGTTGATGTGTGATGATGTATCTTGATGTGTGTTGATGTGTGATGATGTGTGTTGATGTATGTTTATGTATGTTGATGTACGTTGATGTATGTTGATGTATGTTGATGTGCGTTGATGTGTGATGATGTATGTTGATGCGTGTTGATGTGTGTTGATGTATGCTGATGTTCGTTGATGTGTGTTGATGTACGTTGATGCATGTTGATGCATGTTGATGTATGTTGATGTATAATGAACATATGAACATGGATTGCAAATGGATTGCAAATGGATTGCAAATGGCAACACCTGATGTTTCCATACACCTGAGTCATTTTCAGAGCCACTTTGTCTCAAGCTGCATTGAGAGTCGCAAAGGGACGACGTGACGAACGATACGAACGGTGGAAACATCGTCACACGTCATGACCGCGTCACTTCTTCAACAGCTTCCCGCGTGGATCGCGGTGTCTGTCTTCACGTGGGTGGTGTGTTGGGTCTTCGTCGCCCCAAAGGATTGCCAAGATCTCTCCGTCCTTGGCAGCAGTCGGATTTACCCGTTTTATTTATGTTAGTTGCTGTATGTTGCTGTTAGTTTACAAGTTTAGACGGATTATTTATGATTATTTGGATCTTAGTATTTTGGAGTATCTCAGTTTAAGTGTATAGGATGTACAGGTTAAGAGTCTTTTGGTTAGCATCAAAAGCGGCTGGAGAAACGAAGTTTCCGCGGAGGCCCATAGATGATTTGGGGCTAGAGATATCGATGCTGCAGCCGGCTGAAGAGGTTTACCCGGCCTGGTAAACATACAAAAAACGATGGAAAATCACCATTTTTAATGGGTAAATCCACTATAAATCACCATTTTCAATAGCTATGTTTGTTTACCAGAGGGTATGAAGTTTCATGAAGTTTCAAAACTGTGCAGTTCAGATCAGGTTTGCAACCAACAGATGAAGAGCTACCCGACCTATGTTCACGTGATATCCGGGACCGCCTTGGTTGCAATGGCAGGGAATGAGATTTGTGGCCTCATCGCAACCTACATGGGTTCCAAGAACCTTTGGCCCAAATCACTAGAGAACTTTGATTATTTGACGTTGCTATGCAAAACATGAATTGCTTCATGCCGAATCATGCCCTGCAGATTGATATCTCAAGTGTCAAAAATGGCTCGGCTGATTCCTGCAGATTTTTTTTTCGTTTTAGGAAAGTCGGGTTTTTCAGAACGCTTGATGAACAGCGTCTGGAAAAAAGTCTGGCTTGAGGCAGACGCAAGCTCTGATCCCACATTTACAGAGCCGCTGTTTACCCAGCTTCCTGTTGGCGGTGATGTTCAGCTGGTTGGCTGTCGTGGAGTACTTCTTCGCCCGTCCGGATGTCAATTTGGCCCACGTCCATTCCAGTGCAGACGGACTCACTGTGACGGGGCTGCAATTTTTGTGTGCTGGTTACAACATGTTACAACGGTTAACAGATAAAAGATATAATAAAAGATATAAAAGGAAGCAGGCAATTTAAGTGTGGAGCCATTGGCTTCGCAAGTGTTTTTTTCAGTGACAGTAGTCCAAGCATGTCCAAGCTATCCTCACATATCATCCTACTTTCTGCCCGCTCTCTATCTACTTCACCTACAGATAAGCCTGAAGACTTCACTGCTGGTGAAGCTTCCTAGTATAAGGTTCTTGTTCTTCGCCAAGCTGAAGTCTCCTAGGCTTCGGATATGACGAATGACGGATTGCTGCAGGGTTCAAATAGCTAGGACCTTGGACAGTCCGGTGAAGGAAGAGAGAACAGGTGACGCAGGCTGTAAGATACGACGAGGCACCACTCAGCCGGATGGCGCTCAGGATGGGGGTGCATCACAGATGACGATGCTCCATGCAGACACTGAGGCAGATGTTTTCCATGGGATATGCAGCTGAGAAAGCACAACGAGAGATGCTGACCTTGAAGAGACGTGCTCGCGTGCAGACGCAGAGGTCGCGCTCGCCAACTCAAAGCTCAAGCAGCTGTCCAAGCCCCTGACTCCCTCCACCCATCCACTTTTTTGGGGGGCTGGAAAATCTTGCAGCGCTACCAACGTGTCACAAAAACTGCATTAAAATTGACCCTTTTTGAGGTGGATCAGGTGGGAGAAAAAATCCAAAAATCCCTCAGGAAGTCCACCAAAATGGATGTTCTCTGACTGGATTCTGTGAACCCCATCGACATCGGCAAGACTTCGGGGTTGATCCAGTTGATCCATGGCTGTGGAGGCGAGGCGGCCTCGACACAGAAATTAGCACAGGAAATCACAGGAATAAACAGCCGGAAAATTGGAAAATGAACAGTGAACAGACTTGAACCCATGTGAAGCCATGAAGCCATTCCAGTTTCACTCCGCCTTTGACATCGACCGTGCGGATCATCCTGATGTGACAAGGGATGCGCGAAAACGGGTTACGCAGATTTCCGTTTAAGCGCAAACCGGGTGCACCTGGTGACGTTGTGCTTGGCAAGGACGAGCTTCTGTGAATGGAAGTCTTTTAGGTCAAAGATGCGTCAAGACTTCCAGAAAGGGATAAGATCTGCGCAAGAGAAACTGGTCCGTCCTTTCATCTAGGCCTAGACTCTGGTCATTTGATGTCCTTCTTCCGTCCTTTTTATCACAGTGTCGACGTTTTCACTCGTTTTCACTTAGGTCCCAGGGCGCCCTGTTTGGACTCTACGATACATTGAGCCACTTGGCGAGATATGCAAGGAGCCTGCGTGTCAGTTTGCTACTTTCCTGAAGAGGTCACCCTAATTATGGTGAAGAGCATCATGATTTACACTTTACATCACTTTACACACATTCATATGACAGACTTAGGCTCAAATGTAGTACATATACAGACATACATGCATGCTTCATACATGCACGCATGCAAAGATACATAGATACATAGATACATAAATACATAGAAGCATAGATGCATAGATGCATAGATGCATAGATACATAAATACATAGAAACATAGATGCATAGATGCATAGATGCATAGATACATAAATACATAAATACATAGATGCATAGATGCATAGATGCATAGATGCATAGATGATAGATAGATAGATAGATAGATAGATAGATAGATGGATAGATAGATAGATAGATAGATTCACACATTCACATTCACACATTCACACATTCACACATTCACACATTCACACATTCACACATTCACACATTCACACAGTCACACAGTCACACATTCACACATTGCAACATTCAGACATTACATTACCTTACCTTACCTTCCTTATCTTACCATACTAACACAGAACATACATACCTACAACGTATACCGTACGACGTACGACGTACCTTCGGCAGGCAGGCAGGCAGGACAGACGTCAGACGTAAGAGAGACAGAGACAGACAGAGACAGACAGAGACAGACAGAACAGACAGGAGACAGACAGAAGAGAGACAGACAGAGACAGACAGAGACAGACAAGACAGACAGGGGGACAGACAGGGACAGACAGACAGACAGGGACAGACAGAGACAGACAGAGACAGACAGAGACAGACAGAGACAGGACAGGGACAGACAGAGACAGACAGGACAGGAGACAGACAGAGACGACAGGACGACAGAGACAGAGAGACAGACAGAACAGACAGGGACAGACAGAGACAGTGACAGACAGAGACAGACAGGAAGACAGACAGACAGGACAGACAGAGGACAGACAGGGACAGGACAGGGAGACAGGGACAGACAGGGGACAGACAGGGACAGACAGGACATGTACATACATTTACATACATTTACATACATTTACATACATTTACATACATTTACATACATTTACATACATTTACATACATTTACATACATTTACATACATTTACATACATTTACATACATTTACATACATACATTTACATACATACAATTACATACATACAATTACATACGTGCAATTACATACATACAATTAAGCCTTTCCAACCATATAATATAATCCTGAATTTGTGCTTGACTCTGGAGTGCCTCGTCCTCCCATCACCGTGGCTGATCATTTGCTTGGTGCCCGGCAAGAGTGGGTTCGCGTCTTGCAAGAACCTGCTGATGGGTGGTCCCATCCAGTTGTGGGTCGCTGGGTGGACAGTCATGGGCGGGGGCGCGGTGTGTTGGTCTGGGACGAGTTTGGACGTTTGCCACGTGATGATCTTCGGGCTCGGGTTGGTCATGCCTATTGTTCTCCCGGGCCTGTTATTGTCCATCAGTGGCAGGGATCGGATGTGCGTGTCTTGTCGTCTGTTTCTGTTCGCGTTGGGTCTTGGGTGTACCGCTGTGAGGAGGGGCTCTGGTTTGCAGCTCGGCCAGGTCCCGTTTCTGGTCGGCTTTTTGTCCTTTTACAGATTGACAAAAGCCCTCCTTCTGCTTGGGACATTGACCGGTGGTACTCTGTGTCCACGCGTTCTCCTTCTCAATGCGGTTTTTCTGTTTCGCGCGTCGCTGAGCCAGGTTGTCAAGCTTGCGTTGGTCCATTAACTTTGCAAGAGCGGAGCGATGTGATTCGCCGTCTTCGAGGCTCTAAGCCTGGACCTTCTGGGTGGAAGCTGGAGTTCTTGTCCTTGTTTCCCAGTTGGGTGCAAGAGATCTATTGGTCCATGCTGGATTTGCAGCGTGGTGTTGGGCTCGTGGCACCCAGCCTCAAGACTGCCTTGCAGGTTCACCTTCCCAAACCAGATGGGGGCTGGCGGCCTTTGACAATGTTAGAAGAAGGCTTCAAGGCCATTGAAGGCCCTGTTACAAGGAGACTCAATTCTCAACCTTTTTTCTCCAATTCCAATCTTGCGTTTCGGCCCGGGGCTCCTGCTGCTGGAGAAGTTTTGCATCTAGACGTGTTGCTTGGTGAAGACGCGCGCGCGCACAATTTGCCTTTTTGCCGTATACCTGCTGATTATGAAAAGTTTTTCGACACCATTCAACTTTCCTCCGTTGATGCCATCCACCATTGTCGAGGGGTCCCTGACGCGGCTCGTCGGCTGTACCAGCATGCTTTCCATGATGTGCAGGTTTGCGTTTCCACAGGGGTGGGGACGACTGACCCGATTGCTGTTACCCGTGGTTGCCCTCAGGGTGCAGTGTCCTCTCCCGCGTAGCTAGCGCTGCCCAGGATCCTGTGCTTAGACTCCGTGAGCATAGTCAAGCCGCCTATCGCACTTCTGCTGGGCGAAGCGTTGCTAGCGTTGGTTACGCGGATGATGTCGAGCATTATGGTTCTGGACTTGTCGATCTCCCTGTTATTTTGGCAGAACTCAGCGCAGGCAGTGTTGCAACTGGTATAGGGTTTTCTTGGCGCAAGTTTTGGGCATATGCGTCTGACTGGGACCAAGCCTTACCCCACCTTCCTCCCGATGCTTCTGCCGTTGTGTTTGTCAATGGGGCCAACGTCCAGAGTTGGGACATATGGGCTGGTGGTGTCCGCCAAGCTTTCCTGCCTCGAGGGGACCATGCTCGCATTGATCGTTTGTTGGGTAAGCGTGGTGTTCTGTTTGATCGACATTCCTTGCCAGCTGAGGATTTGCTATCCAAGTCCGCTGCAGCGCGCCGGCGCTTGTCAGCCAAGCATTGCTCTTGGGATGAATGCTTAGCTTTGTACCAGTGGGTGATGCGTGGTGCTGCGTCTTAGATTCCCCTTGTCGGGATCCCTGCCCCCGTAAGCCTTCATGAAGAAGATGCCTGTTTTCAAAGACTTTTGCTTTCTGCTTTAGGGGTTCGCTCCACAGCGGAGCGCGTCAGCCTTTTAGCCGCCTTCCACATAGGTGGGCTGGGCGCCCCATCGGTGGTTGAAACATTGGTCGCTTCTTGTGCTTCTGGCTTGATCACTTTGCTCTCTGGTTCTTCGACTGCTAGCCTAGTCGCGCGGGACTCGCTCCGGCACGCTTTGTTGCTTCCTCCGCAGCAGGCCAAGGATTGGGACGGGCTGGTGGTGCGGGGGATGCGTTTCCTGTCTGGTTATGGGTTTCACATCACCGTGTCTACTGACCGGTTCGTGGGTCGGGTTCTGGATTTGTTGGCTGCGCATTCTGCACACCCGCACGCCTTGTTAGGTCCCTTTGACCCTGCTGCTTTTTCCGCTTCCCAGCGGTTTTGTCGAGTGGGGTTGGTGGCCAACACGCTGCGCGCCGTTTTTGCGCAATTCCGTCGCGCTTCTCTCCCCTCTTGTGCCTGGGGGGATGTTGCGCAATGGGCCCCGCACGTTCAAGTTGATTGCGGGTTTGCTCTTGCTGATCTTGCGCGCGCCGCCGGGTCAGCTTTAGCAAATGCCGCACAGGAATGGCGCGCTGAGTGTGCGCTCTTCCGTCCGGACGTCCCGCCTCCCCCCTTCTTACAGATTGGCCTGAGTGTGCATGGGAAGACCCTTGGTGCGATTCTGCGGATCCGCGCAGTCAACATTAGGATCCGATTGCTGATCATGAGGCCCCGCGCAGGGACTTCGCAATCTTTGGGGATGGTATAGTGCTCTTCCTTCTGGGGCTTCTAGTTTTTGTGCGCAAGCGCGCGGGCTTGGTTCTGAGGTCGGTCGTTGGGACAGTAACCCCTATACGTCACGTCCCGGATTGCTGCTCGCCTGCCGCAACAGTTCGGCTCCGGGGCGTCGTCTGTGCATGTGGCCGAGTTGGTTTCATTGTTGGTCGGTCTTCGCTGGTGCCGTCCTGACTCGTGGAACTTATTAGTGTACGATAGAAGCTCCTTGTTCAACGTTCTGTCTGCGTGTGTCACGCGGCCCTTGCGCGGGTTGCTGTTGTTAGCGTGTTCTCCTATTGTGGTCAGATTGAAGCGGGGTTTGCGCAGGTTGGAGCGCTCTTGGACTGGATCTGCCACGGTCCCATCTTGGAGGTTGCATCAGGCACGACATCCTTCGCACTGGAATCGTTCCCTTCCTGTGGATGGCAAGATGCGTCGTATGAGTTCCATCAGCTTCAATACCTTTGGGCTGGTGGGTGTTGATATCAAAAGCCACCAAGTGAATTCTGAAATTCCGTTTGCTTCTCTTGTAGCCGGCAATGAGGCACAGGACTCCGGATGCGCTGACGTCATCCATCAACCGGCCCCTGTGAACTTATGTTTTCCTACTGGTGGGATGTTTTGTTTCTTATCTTACAAAGGGAGTATGGTGGTTGACCCCCCCGTGTAGTGATCAGGAACGCCCTTCGGGCGCAAGCGCAAGCGCAATGGTCGCAGCGGCAGGTTCAAGGCAAGGTGGCGTCTTTCCCTCAGCAGGTCTTTGGAGCGTGCTTGAATGCTGCGTGGTACACTGCTTGCGTCCCTTTGCTCACTTGGCGTTGTTGGTGTCTGCCGACCGACGCGGCTGCAGTTGACTTATCGCGCGTCTTGTACCGGTGTGTCCGTGCCATTGGTGGCGGGTGGACCGAACAGCTACATGTGGACCCGGCCCTTGCTTCCTTGGCAGAACAATGGCGTGTCCAATGCCGTTTGTCTTCTATACGTTCCTGTCCTTTGTGTCAAACGGGCCCTGGTACCCCACGACATGTTGTAATGGTTTGCCCTTCCATGCGCCCTCTAGTTGATATGTTGCGGGACTGTCTGGAACAAGAGTTTGCAAGGTTGGTTCCCGCTTCTGTTCTCCTGGAACGTGCGGGCACTTGGCGCACCACCCTTGAGTCGCAAGGGCGGCCTTTGGGCCGGTCGGATCCTGTCGATGCCCGTCGTTGGCCAATATTGACGGCTTGGCGTTTTCTGGTGCCGATGCCTGATCGCGAACCAGTGCTTTCTGCCGATGTCAATGGGAGCAGCAAGGCTGCCGTGGCTGCTGAGACGGCCAGTGACTTAGGCTATCGAGCCATTTTGCCTTTTGCGCTTGGGCAGGCTGTGTGTCGGCTTGCTACCAGTACTACTACAAATAGTTTTGAGGGGGAACGTTTCGCAGTGGTTCACAACCCTGGAGATGTTCAACAAGAAGCCGTGCAAGAAACTGCAAGGAAAAACCAGATGGCGCCTGCCATCACAGTTACCACACTTCTGCTTCTTGGTCTCCGGCGTGTGAGAATCGAGTACGCGAAGCGTACCTCGTTCTGGCGTGCCTGTGCTTCTTTGTTCTTCGAGGAGACACCGGTTGATGTTGGTCCTTCGCGGGGGCTCCCCGCCCCTTCAACTTTGCAGGGGTGGTTGGTGTCTGCTGCCGGCCAGTCTTGTGTCAAGGAATGGCGTTGGTTGGTCCCTACCCCGTCTGTTCTCGAATCTCGTCTGCGCCGTGAACCCACCGGGGTGCGCTCATTGACATGCCAACATATGGCTGAGATTCAGGCACACGGTGTGCCTTTGATGATTGATGGGTCCCCGTCCTGGGGGCCAGCCCAGCTACTTTGGCAGGATGCGCGGTTGGTGCTCGATACTATAGGTGTGCTTGTGTTGCTACCTCCCCGCTTCCTGCGCTCATGGTTTGTGACGGGTGTGGCTGTGCGCGTCTTTCCCCCGCTTGCGCGTCTGCGGATGCGTTAAGTTGCCCTTGGTGTCGGCAACGGCATGGTGCTGTCTGCCGTATGTGTAGTCGGTTGCTTCATTTCCGCAGGGAGTGTGCGTGGAATGCGCGCATGGGGTTTACAATACCTCTCCGCACGAAATAGTGCTATTGTGCCCTGACTGTAGTTGGCAATGGGTCCAACTGCTTCAGGCATGCCCTAGTCGGCCCGGCCCAGCGTTTTTCCTCCAACTGGTGAACTGGCGCGTCATCTCGGGAGCCTGGGGCTGGTGACGCAGTCGTGCGCCGTAAAGCAAGTGTCAGCTGGGGCAAGGTGAGGCGGTGGTTGTTGCGCTTACTTCGTCATGCGTCTTTTACGTGCACTGTCAGGAACATTTTCATGACGCGGAACCCGGCGTTCTTCGTCCAGTCCTTGGCGTGGTCTGCCGCGAGGGTCTGCTGGCTGTTACTCGCCGGGCAGGGGCGCTGGTTTTTTCTCTTCCTTGTTGACGTGTTTGTTCGTTTTTCTGTTCTTTTTTTTTCTTCTTTCTTCTTTTTTGTTCCTTTGTTGTTGTTTTTGTTGTGTTTGGTTCTGCGTGCTTCTTTCTGTCTTCCTTTTTTTTCTTTTTGTGTCCCTTTTTTCTTCCTCTTTCTTTCCCCTTTTTCCTTGTTTTTGTGTTCTGTTTCCTGCTCCCTCTTTTGCGTTGCTCGCCCTGTTGCTGGTCCTCCCGCTTCGATTTGGCCTGGCTTGGGTTGAATATTATTGGCGCCTGCCAATTTTTATTCGTCATTTTTTCTTTTTCCATCTGGTTCCTTACAGGTTGCTGGTCGATTAAATCATCGGTGCATTCCTGACCTTTTTTGAGTGCAATCCTGCGCTAAATTTATTTGTTGTCTTCCTGGAAAAGCTTTTGGTTTCTGACACGGCTGCGAACTCAAGTGCTGGCGCCATGGCATTCCTCCTCACGGTTGTGGGTGCATTCTTGTGCGCTTCACCTGCTGTGGCCATGGACGACAACATGCGTCACCATGCGCGCAGAGCGCTGGGTGTGGCTTTGAGTGTCGCAGAGCGTTCTTTGGAGCATCTCCTCCCTCCATCCAATGGACCGCCTGCCAGCCCTCACAGTCAAGTTTGGCAACCAAATTGGGTCACACCGCATGGTTTGGTGCCTCAACCTTGCGCCGCACCTGGGGCTGTGTTTGATCCTGCAAGACAAACATGGGCTCGAGCTTGTGGTGGGCCCGGTGTGAATTTGATGGGTTGCTCCACATATGGTCAGCCAATGCCAGGACCTCCTCCTTTGACCCGTCCACCTGTCGCTGCGTCAGGGGCGCGTCCGGATGTTGGCCCACCTCGGCAGCAAAGGCAACCTGATGCTTCTACAAGGCATTCATCCAGGCGAAGTGCTGATGGCAATGTTCGACGGTCCAGATCCAGGGCTCGGAGAAGTGCGGTGCTAAGTGGTCGGCCTCGCCGTTCCAGTCCAAGAAGGGCCAGGGCGGGTGGTGCGGCGCCAGTGCGGTCGCAGCAAGCCAGAAGTGTTGGGCAAGTTGGGCCGCGTGCTGCTCAGTCTCCAGGACAACCTGCTGCTGCTCCAACTCGCCGGCCTATCTTTCAGGGGCAGGGGCGACCAAGTGCTCCAGCAGTTGGTCAAGAGAGGCCACGTCGCACCAGAACCCCAAGACCGGCAACAACCAGTGCATCAGTGAATCCTTTGACGCCCAGGCAACCACCAGGTTTGTATGTCAGAGGATTAAGGGCTGCTGCCAGCGTTGACCAAGTCGAGAGATTGTTTGAAAGGTTGTCTTCTTTTTCACCTACCTTGTTTTCTTTACCCGGGGACCCCAGATGTTCAGCCTGCACATGTATCGCACCGGTGCAGCCACAGTTGTGCATCCAGCATTTGCTGATCGGGGTCTTGTTGAACAGGTCTTGGGTGAACTAGGAGTGGGCCCTAACTCAGAGCCTGCTGCGATTCCCACTGAAGACTTTGGTGATGTCGCTGTCCGAGGGGCTCGTGAAGCCTTGTCCCTTGCGGACGATGACGATGTATGAAACCGTGTCTGACACCGCCTTGGTTTTTTTGAAAAAGTGGACTTGCTGTGTGTGCAGGTGGCTTCTGGGATGCGGTCATCGGGTTCTGTTCTTTTTGATCCGGTTTCCTTTTTACGGACCACCAGAAACTGGTGGGGAGGGTCTGCGATGACGTCTTCGGAGCTGACCCTGAGATCTGCCGGTGGAGGTTGTGTCCTGGGACGGTGGCTACTGCCATGAGTCGCTTCAACCAACCAACCAACCAACCAACCAACATACAATTACATACAATTACATACAATTACATACAATTACATACAATTACATACAATTACATACAATTACATACAATTACATGCAATTACATACAATTACATACAATTACATACAATTACATACAATTACATACAATTACATACAATTACATACAATTACATACAATTACATGCAATTACATACATTTACAGACATTTACAGACATTTACATACATTTACATACATTTACATACATTTACATACATTTAGATACATGTACATACATTTACATACATTTACATACACTTACATACATTTACATACATTTACATACATTACATACATTACATACATTAACATACATTATTTACATACATTAACATACATTTACATACATTTACATACATTGACATACATCTACATACATTGACATACATTTACATACATTGACATACATTGACATACATTTACATACATTTACATACATTTACATACATTTACATACATTTACATACATTACATACAATTACATACACACAATTACATACAATTACATACAATTACATACATTTACATACAATTACATACAATACATACAATTACATACAATTACATACAATTACATACAATTACATACAATTACATACAATTACATACAATTACATACAATTACATACAATTACATACAATTACATACAATTACATACAATTACATGCAATTACATACATTTACAGACATTTACATACATTTACATACATTTACATACATTTACATACATTTAGATACATGTACATACATTTACATACATTTACATACACTTACATACATTTACATACAATTACATACAATTACATACAATTACATACATTTACATACATTTACATACAATTACATACAATTACAATTACAACTACAATTGCAATTACAATTGCAATTGCAATTACATACATTTACATACATTTACATACATTTACATACATTTACACATTTACATTACACATTTATATACATTTACATACATTTACATGCATTTACATGCATTTACATACATACAATTACATACATACAATTACAATTACAATTGCAATTACAATTACAATTACAATTACATACAATTACATACATTTACATACATTTACATACATTTAAATACATTTACATACATTTACATACATTTACATACATTTACATACAATTACATACAATTACATACATACAATTACATACAATTACATGCATTTACATACATTTACATACAATTACATACAATTACATACAATTACATACAATTACATACATTTGCATACAATTACATACATTTACATACAATTACATGCAATTACATACAATTACATACATTTACATACAATTACATGCAATTACATACAATTACATACAATTACATTACATACAATTACATACAATTACATACAATTACATACAATTGCATACAATTACATACAATTACATACAATTACATACAATTACATACAATTACAATTACAATTACAATTGCACACATACAATTACATACAATTACATACAAGTACATACAATTACATACAATTACATACAATTACATGCAATTACATACAATTACATACATACAATTACATACATACAATTACATACAAACAATTACATACAATTACATACAATTACATGCAATTACATACAATTACATACATTTACATACAATTACATACAATTACATGCATTTACATACATTTACATACAATTACATACAATTACATACAATTACATACAATTACATACAATTACAATTACAATTACACACATACAATTACATACAATTACATACAATTACATACATTTACATACAATTACATACAATTACATGCAATTACATACAATTACATACAATTACATACAATTACATACATACAATTACATACATACAATTACATACATACAATTACATACATACAATTACATACAACTACATACAATTACATACATTTACATACAATTACATACAATTACATACAATTACATACAGTTACATACAATTACAATTACAATTGCACACATACAATTACATACAATTACATGCAATTACATACATTTGCATACAATTACATACATTTACATGCAATTACATGCAATTACATACAAATTACATACATTTACAAACAATTATACACATTTACATACAATTACATACAATTACACACATACAATTACATACATACAATTACATACATACAATTACATACATACAATTACATACATACAACTACATACATACAATTACATACATACAATTACATACATACAATTACATACATACAATTACATACATACAATTACTTACATACAATTACATACATACAATTACATACATACAATTACATACATACAATTACATACATACAATTACATACATACAATTACATACATACAATTACATACACTTGCATACATACA